GCAAGCGGTTGAACTCTGCTGTCAAGCGAGTCTATTACGCAGTTGACCCGGCCATTGTCTTCACTACCACCCGGATACCAACGACATCGGGGACAGAACCATTGCCTCTCTCTGCCAAACATCAATGAATATTAATACTAATGAAACTGAAAGTGGTGATTCCTGTATTTCCATTTTTCAGTAAAGCAACATGCGTAGATTATTGGGAGCTTGAAGAACATGTTTAGGGGAAAACACTTTCCGTAATCAAAGAAGTATTCCTTTTGATTTCGGCAATTTTGCATCTACAAATTCGGCACTAACTGTGACGCATACCTGTGAGCAGTTCAAGTCACGTGATAGCCATGAGACAAAACCGGAAAAAAGTTTATCGAACAGGTGGAACGGAAAGTCATAGGACATGAAGCAGATGTCACCGGCTGCATGAACTCCTAACTGAATTTCGTGTTGAACATGAACACGAGAGCCCCGAATCAAAATGTTAGTAGGAGTCACAAGGGCCATTATCTCTGGATTTATAATGCAAGTATAAAAGTCAGCAGTAATTGAAATGGTGCCTCGAGGTCTAATCTGACTTGTCGAAAGATGACCGTCATACTAGCTTCATTGGACCAGGCTAACTAGACATTGCAAGACAGTTTCACTCTAGCCCAGAACAAGACGACACTCTTCGTTGGCCGAAGTTGTGTGATTCGTCCCTTCATATTGCCCGCTTCAGTTCTCTGGTTTTTAACTAAAGATCATCTTGCCAACGGAATTCGTTCATACACAGATAACCTCCCCGGGATACATGATCATCACCAGAAGCGGGATCATTTCCGAACGGTAGTTTTGATCTCATAAAAAACCGATTAAATTGTTTTTTTGTGTGTGTCATACTACGGAAGAGAACGATCGTAAATTTAAATTGTGGGTTTCGAACCCAAGCGTTGAAGTCGTCTGTGGTTTTATACTGCGCATGCCCTATCAGCCCAGGCATGAAGCGGTGCGGATCTTTTCACCCGTGAATGACTCACCCAACTCAGGGAGGTGTGAAATTCACCGATTGACTGAAGGCTACAATGGGTTTTAATTGGAATGCTTCAGAATTCGCAGAACAAACGAAAATGCCGGGTTGATTGTTGCAACAAAGTATTATTATTGTGTATACAGGTATTGATCGCACTCGTACAACATGACACTCTGGAAATACATTTCCGTTTCCAGTATTATACATGTACAGCTATGGGTGAAGATTATTTATTCCGAACTTTATCTCCCACTGGATTGCTTTTAGTTCTCTCCTATCACCATTTGAATTTGCGCGCGACCTTGAGTGTCACCGTAAGATTTACAGTGGTTCGAAAGTTACGGCTGAGAAGTTAAAAAGATTTTACGCAAAGAAGCACGAAAGTTCATTCTTTCTAATAAATGACTTCTGTTCCATGAGGATGTTTATTCTGATCAACACAAGTCTTCTAAATAGCTTATCGTTTTTCATTCAGTGCACAATGAATAAACCGATTAATTAAAATGTTATAGCTGAGGTAAACTGGTAAATTATACGGCTGCAAACTATTCACGTGACATCCCCATTCTCGAGGCTTTGTTATTTTACAACTGACGCACCAGCAATCGTCGTCAAAATCGAGAAATCTCTCATTCAAATGCTATTCGTTTAAAAAAACAAAAACATAAGTGATGTGTTGCATCTAATGTGGTGCAGCAGCATATCATATATGAGGCTCGAAATTCGAAGCTCTGGGAGGAACAAATATGATGAAAGATAGGGTATTGCACGGGTTTTATCAATAATTGCTTAGAAAAGTCAGACGGCGGGGTATGGAAGCCAGATGAAAATCTCTGTTTAAGGGATGCTTTTTGTATCCAGCCCGACCAAAACCGGTTTACGGTGTTGCGTTTAACTGAATGTCTATCGTTCCATATATGTCGCAGAATGCATACTTTTAGTAGAATAATGCTCAACAAGTGATTAGATTAGTAAAAAGACTAGTAAAGAGGTAAGTAAAGTCACCGCATCGTTTAAAAAGCATCGATATAGCCAAAAACGTAAATACGTGAATAAAGTTAACCAAACAGAGCAACATACTACTCATTGGACAAGTAGTCTTTTTTGTTCATGCACCGTGTGGTAGCGTCGTTCTAACCATTTGGTGCGCCAAAACATCACGATTGTGCTTTTTCAACCACCTTCCCGGACTAAGTCCCACGGCGAACATGAACCCCCTCAGAGAACAGAATCCCTAAGAAAAATCATAAGTGCTGAGTTGAGCAGGGTCCGTGGCCCGCAACAAACTTTCAAAGATGGGTTGTGCTATATCGTGTGAATGGAAAATGAAAAACGGTCTGATCAGCTGCTCGGTGTTGTAGTGGGTAGCACGCTTGCGTTCTGTTGAAAAACGGTCCGATCAGCTGCTCGGTGGCGTAGTGGGTAGCACGCTTGCGTTCTGCCCATGAAGTCCCGGGTTCGATCCCCAGTCGGGTCGATGGATTCGCACTGCTGATGAGACCCAACCAGGTCGAAACAGCTGTCCAGTGCTTCCGAGCTTTTCAGTTCACGCTTCATTTGCTATATACACGACGAATTCCAATTTGAAATTTAACCAAATCCTCCGTTACTCACATCAAATCATAAGTCCTCCAGTTTATCATTGAGCGAATATGACTGGTCGTTCGTTAACTCCTGGTCAGCGGTTTCTGATGCTGTTGTTGTTGTTTGTGTCTGTGACCGAGCCTCGATTCACTTTACTTACTTTTAACCAAAAATCCCAATAGGGCTAGCCAGCCAGATGGAAGTGCGTTACGAAATCTGGAATGATTTAATTCTGGACAGAACAGGAACT